ACTCTATGAAAATTGAGTTATTCGCTTGGCTCTCGATCAACCCTCGGGGCAATTGAGAGTAGAGTTTGTATGCAAAGCAACGGCTTGAATGCCTGTCGAAACTTGGCACACATGCTGCCAGTTTTGGCTCATTAACTTTGCCACACTCCCAGCCTCCGTCTCTGCTCCTGCTTCTGCTGCTGCTGCTCCTGCTGCTGCTGCATATCAATTAGCTGACTTTTAGGCGCTGCCATGTATAATTAAACAAGTTTGAGAGTTGGAGCTTGGTAGCTGATAGTGTGGTCCAACTCAACGCTGAGTAAACCGCATCCTGTTTGCCTCTTTCACTCACAGACATGGCTCATTAGCAGCAGCAGCGGCTACAGCAGTAGAGCTGACTATGATAGCCCTGGCTAATTTAATATTTATACCTTAATCAAGACACGAGGCAGCCCCTTTGATGGCTTCCTCAGGAAATCAGTTGATGGCCAGGCGTTAATTGACCATTCCCATTCAAACTTGCCATCTGGCTGCCACAGTTGTCTGTCACACAAATTTTCAATCGATAGAGCACATCTGTGACCAGGCAAATGCACACACACACACTCGCTCCCACACATGTGTATTTGTACAGCCCACGGCTTTGATTCCGTAATGAGGCAACCAGGCTTGTTGCACCTTTGTAACGTCCTGGGCATATGAAAGAGGACAGCAGACGGCAATAGACAGGGACAGAGAAAGACACGTAACGGCCCGGCGAAAAGAAAAAAAAGGCTTTAGCTTTGTCCGTGGCCATGGCCGGATGTGTTTTACGGCCAAGATACCCTTGATTCGCCATTTATTTCGTAGTTTATCCTTTCGTTGATTATTGCACAACATTTGCTCGCCCTCTCCGGCTGGCAGCCCCTTTGTAATTTTGTCAGACTTTTGACCTTATGGGTCCCTACGTTGTTTGCTTTTGTTTACGCATTTCATTGTTGAGTAGCTCCTTCAATTTCCATGTACATTTAAAGGGATTAAAAAGATATTCGTCAAACCCAAAGATACACAAGTTTATTTAACGCCCTTCCAGAAGCCCAGACCCTCGACCGATTTATGTGTGTGTATCTCCCGACCTTATGTGTGTTGTGTGTGCTTTTATGGTTGACACAATATTATCTTATATTTAAGTCCAATTGGGCTGGTGAGGGAGAAACCCTCAATAAAAATTATGCTCCTTTCAGTTTTCAACATTTATTTTATAATGTTTAGTTCATTCTTTTTACCACAAATAGTCATATTTATATTTTATTAGTTATTTATGTGTAGTAAATTGACAAGCCAAGCAGTAGGCGTCATTTTAAGAGCTGGGTTTGTTTTTCTTATTCCATTTTCTTGAACTTTACTTTACTTTTTTTTTTTGTATTTGTCAAAGTAAACTTGACATGTCGACACCGAATTATACACTTTTTTTTTTGTATATACTACATACTTAATGTTTAATAATATATTAAGTACATACATTCATAATCCGTGGTAACTTTTCGTTTTTGTTATAATATATTTTTATTTTTATATATATATTTGCATAGGTTGCAATTTATACACGTGTATCTTTGATGCGCCGTTTGGTATGCCTGTATCTATAAATAAGTATGTATTTACGTAATTGTTTACTTTGTGGTACAATAATTGAATCATTGTATTTCTCAGCCGCTGCGGTTTTTAGTAGCGCCTGTTAATGCTATTTTCCTATACCTTAAGATTTATGGTACAATTATATTTATTACAATATATCATTAACAAAGGAGAACTCAGTGAAACAATAAATCAATATTGAATTAATGACATTTCTCACATGTGTATAAGCATGCATTTATGTATATTTATATTTATGTATTATATTATTCAATATATTCAATAGGCCAAATAAATGATATATGATTTTTTTGCTGTGTTATTTACGTGCGTAAACCAAACTCAGCGTTCATTTTTTTCTGCTACATATATTTATTTCACACACATTTACACTTTTGTCATATATTTTTATATAAAATTAATATGGTTTTTTTTTCTATAAATGTTGGATTATTACGCCATGATATGTGTGACTGGAAGAATCGTGTATAAATGTCAGTGAAATGATGTAGGTACTCGCCGTTACGATTACAACAATACTTATAGCCCGAGTGCACTTTATAGTGTTAATGCTGTGGCTGATGTTATTACACTTGAGGAACATATAAAAAATATGTGTGTATTTATGTCAAAATATGTATCCATATGCAAATAAATAAATCAAGATGAACAATGTCATTTCAATTTACGTACAGTATCCGCTTTTAATGTTGCTCCTCAATGAGACAATTAAATTTGTATTAAATTATGCTAATTGCGTTTGCCGCTGCCAACGATATTGTTTTTCAACTGTTAATTGCCGTAATTGTTCATTTCTTATTGCGGCTCGTGGTTTCAAGTTTCAGATCAACTTTAATTTTTGTTAAGCTAGTGGGTTTTGCTACCTCTTAAAAAGTTTTATTTAATCCACTCGAAGCTTTTTTATCTTCTTTAGAAAGTAAACCGATCTAAACCCCTCTGACCACTGAGTAAATAAACATCAACAATTTCAGCTAGATATTCTGTGCAAAATGTTCTCAAAGACGCATGCCAAGTTCTGATAGCTTCGTTGGGCCGAAGTATATATACAAATATATGTTGTATATTGTTTTTCTTTTGTTTACATCCACTTTAACACAGATAATTGTACAACATTTATGATATGTTTTGCGAATTGCTGTGACAGTAATTATTTGGAATTTTCATAGAGCTTAATGTTTCTTTTAGTTCCTGGGTTCTTTATCCCGTTCAAATATTAATACACCATAAATATAAATATGTATATGCTTACATACGACATTCTTATGTATGTATGCGGTAAAGTGCTTTTTGATCAGTGCGTAGACTTACTTCTGAAGAATGAAAACATTAACACACAGATGTCAGAGGACAGAGTTGGAAAAACAACACACAGATGGATTTGTAGGTATGTGTGTATATATAGTATATGTATGTATGAAATTGTATGCATGTACGTATGCTATTACATTGAGATAATTCAGTTATGATTGATATGAATGCGTGATATGAATAGGAAGATGTAAGAGTGTGCGTAGATTGGTGGGAAATATTTGCCCGTCCTTATTAATAAAAGACGACACATTATTGTTAAAATGAAAGATCAGATGAAGTTAAAGATGTGTTCAAAACATCTTGTACGTGAATGCTGCAAAGATATTTAAACTAAAAAAGATGGCACAAATCATTTGTTAAACATTTTGAAAAAATAGTCCATAGATTCTCACTTAAAATAAATCATTTATAGTTAAAGCTTATATACTTGTTGTATAATCTGAGTGTTCTTTTGGATTGCAGCACCAATTTAACACAATTATCTATAATTTGATGTTATCAATTTAACACACAATATATGTATGTATGCATACATTGGAATATACCTATTATCTACTTTATTAATGTAAATTTTATAAATTTTTCAATTGGTTTTTCTTGTTCAGTTAATAATAGACAGCGTAGCATAGGAAGACGTCAATACCTGCATAAGACATTTTAGCCATATTTTTAATATATAATATGTACTTTGTTATACCATTTTGTAATAATATTTCTTGCATTTTTATAAAAATGTTTAAGCATTCAGTATATACTACGTTAATGCATTTTCTCTGTAGTTCTTAACTGGATCTGAAACTAAGGATTTTACTGCATACCATATTTCTTGAACAAATGCTTTGAACAATTGTCGTTTTAAAAAAGGTTTCAACTATATTTCCCGGGAATTTCTTTGCGGCCTTAATTAATATATTTTTTTGTTTTTTAGCTACTTCTTCAAACTGTAGGAAAATGTTTGCAGGCGTAATAATTATTTTACATTTCTTTTTTTCTTGTTCCTTATTTTGAAGTTAAAAATATTTGCCTAATAGCTAAGTAGTTACACACATTTATGTAGACGCATATTTATATATATTGTTGTATATTGGTATAATATATAAACTAGGTTGCTATTTGCTTTACATTTATTTACTTTGCGCTGTGCGATTTGTTTTTGTTTTTGTTTTTGTTTAGTTCAACTTAGATGCTATACATACATATTTGGTTACAATGTATGCTACGCGTAAAGACTTTTTCAGTTAGCAATAGACATTTAAAGCGTTTTGAAAAATATCCTATTAAATATATTCACTTATTCACACACTCATATACGAATATCTTAGCTCACCCAAAAACGAACTGTGAACGGCAAATGAAATTATTTTCCTAACTACTCGTACATAAAAGACGATCCATTTCGACAATTACCATTTACGGAGCGCAATTAAGGGCTAAATGAATACAAATAAATAAGCTGTGCAAGTGTAGGAAAAGGAGTATCCCGACACCAGGAGGAGCGAATTTCGCGTCATCTGGAGTTCACCCATTTGGGCTGACCCTTTTCAGACTTGCCACGTGCCGCAGATTGCGACCATTTCGACGCCCTTTCTTGTCGCTTTTATTTATTTTGTTTTTCTTAAGGTTTTTGTTTTCGTTTTGTTTTTTTCTCAAAATGTTTTCAACACTGATTGTATTTGTAAGCTTCTTGGTTTAACTGTCTAATTATTTTACACTTAAACATTTCATTTTCTAAGGGGGTTAATTAATTTTTGTTGTTTTTTTTTTTTTTGTTGCTACGGCCTAAATTCAAACTTGCCTTAATTTTAGCCTTAGATTTGCTATTTAGCCAAAGCGTTACAACACCATAAAAAATATCATTTTTTTGCATAACTTTTTATATTTCGCTTGCATTTTAGGTACATGGGCCTAAGCAGTCTGGCGACTGCCTAAGTTCGCCGAAAACGTTCTTTATCTATTGTAGTTTATTTTTTGTTTAAAATTTTCTGTTTTGTCGGTCGGAGCATTTGCACAAATATTTGACTAGGCCCAAATGTGAGGCGCATCGCCACCTTAACTGCATCTGGCTGAGCTTCAAATGCTTAACTAACTCCTAGTCCAATTGTCTGTGGTTTTCCCTTGGGACTTGGGTATGCTCATTTGAAAGCTATACAAAAATTTCGCTACGCTACAAAATTGTCAGCTGCTAGAAATGAAACAATTTCGATGCTCACATTTGACTGCAACTTAATTACAAATATTTCTGTTTTCGGTATTGCAGTCTGGCAATAATTTACAAATAAACTCTTTCACTCTATTTTGCCAGAACGAGGCAAAAAATATTATTGTTTATGCACTCGCTCTTAATTGTTTGCATGCTTTTTGGCTGCTTCACACACTTAGCTAATTTTCCAGCTTAATTACACTGAAATCGCCAACTTGCCTGTGCATGACTGTTGCTGTTGTTCCTGTTGTTGTTTTTTGTTGTTGTTGTTATGGTAGTTGTTTCTGTTTCTGCTGCTGTAATGGGTGCCCTTGGATTTGGTTTACTGTACCTCTTACTATGTCGGTGGTCTTCTCTCCTACAGTTTGATGGCTACGTTTGCACTGCAGTTTGTTCCTAATAGTTCACTGAGAGCAGCACGAAAATCAGCAGGGGCGCCAGCGACCACAGATGCGTTAGGGCAGCTCCGCGCGCCCTCCAACCGGCGGATGTCTCGTTGCCGTGCCCGTTGCCATTGCCTAGGGCTGCCATCCCGATGCTAGGCGGAGCCGTCGACGTGGAGGACGCCTGATGTCGCTCTACCTCGACTGCAAAGGTCAAAAGAGAGACGAACATTATAAATAAAGCTTTAGAAAGTCGAAAACAATGGTCGGATCAGGTGGAAGAGATATTTTAGAAGCAAACAGCAGGCAAGGTTGCCTAACAAAATTAATTAGACCAGCTAAAAGTCATCTCCTGAAAGCCAATGGGACTTAAAATAGGAAAAAGAAACAAGTTGACAAGGGGAGCGTATAAATAATGAAAGTGGAAAGCACTTTCAGTAAACAAAATTAGGGTACAGGAAAAACCAAACTTAACCAGCGCTCGGCTGCAGAGGGGTAGCAGAGTGCTCCAATAACTAATAGCAAAAAAATTGTTAAGATAGTTTCGGCCTTCTTTCTATAAAGACCCAGTTTGGTAGAAATCAAAGCTAGCAAAATAATAGCAGATCCTAAGGACTGCATAAGAAACAATTAAGGAGTGGAGCACTCTTCGCTGTGAAGTGGCCAAAACAAACGACGCACTTCACGCAACATAAATAACACGCATACGCCCCTTGGTTCAGAGGAAACTCAAGAGCCAAACGGGCCGTTAGGGAGAGCCGCCGGCGACAGGGATAGCGACAGCGTCGGCCAACGACCGTCTTGAGTCATGGGTCTGTCTGGTAATGTGTAAATTATTTCATACAATTTGAGACAATTTACAACACCGGCTGAGTCAACGGCTTTACCGACTGCAAATGCTAACAGCCAGCGTATGGGCAGACAAAGCCGAGCAAATATATAAATTAACTTTTGTTTGCCCGCCTAGTGGTTATATGCGCGGGGCGGCATTAAGCGAAAATTAAACGAAGGCAAACAAAATAGATGACACACGCCCACACAGTGCGAAGTGGTCGGGCTGAGGGTTGGGGCGGCTGTAAAGTCAGCGACAGAAATATAAATTATGGACGCATTTCAAAATGGCAAAAACGTTGCAACGTTGACTTTGGCTTTTCAATTCTGTGACCCGGTATTGTATTATTGTTGTCTCCTTGAAAGTCATCGTGACGAAGGCAAACACACAGCATTTACAATGGGCACGCATTTAACAGGTCTAACCCAGCAGCCGTACAATGCTAATTTATTTTGTGTAAATTCAGCCGAGATTCCTTCCGACAATTCCATAATTCACATTCACCTTGGGCGCCCGTATGCAAACGAGCCATATTTTTGATGAGCTCATTGCTCGCAATTTTATGAAACGACGCCCAAAACAAATATTGTTCTTGCATAGCATTACACGCGGCGCACAATAAACACATACATAATATACTAATTTACATGTGTACGTATCTATATAATAATACATATATGCATATCACGCATACGCCGCGTTGTCCCACTCACCTTTCACCGAATACGTTTTGTAATCGGCATACTGCTCGCCCTGACCCACCGTCGCCGGTATTGTGGACAGGCATGTGATCTCCATGCGGCCATTGCTGCCCACGTGCTGCTCCGTTATCTCCAGATTGAGCTGACTAATGCTGAACATGCCCTTCTCCTGCTGCGCTGCGGTCACTGCAGCCGCAGCGGCCGCCACACCACTGCCTCCTCCTGGATGAGACAGCGGACGCTGATAGCCGGCTGCCAGCTGGTTCATGGGTCCGGCATTGGATGGTATGCCCAGTTCCTTGTTCAAGTTGGGCGCCTGTGGCCCGAATCCGCCACTGTTCAGAGTGCTGCGTATAATGCCGAGCGCATTTTCGTTAATATGACGCCGAAATTTTCGGTTTGAGTTTCTGAAAAAGATTGGCAAAGAAAAAATGGAGAGGTTAATAAATTCCTGGATGTGTGTGTGCTCCATGTCTGAGTTTAATGTGCCGAGCGCCAGCTATTTGCACACAAATAAACTCGTAAATATTTGCATTTTATGATTGATGTGCGAAAACATGAAAAGCCAAATAAGGGCGAGTTTTCCACATGCCGGTCACGCACTAAAACGAATTTAAGTACAATATATTTTATCAAACCTATTTGTAGTTGGTCACACAAAGGGGGGATATGCTCCTGCTCTATGAATTACATTTTTAGCTATATCGATAAACAAATCAAAAAGTAGCAATTGAAAAAATTAAATTAAGTTGCTGTCCCTTTAACTGAAAACATATTGAGTTCCCTTCATATATGCCTATTCAACTCGATGAAAAGTTTAAATTGAGTGTCTTCTTGCTCGACTACTCGACATATTATGATTGAGTTGAGCGTATCTCGTGGCTAGGCTTGCATTACTCAAATGGCACCGCTGCGTGCCTCACTCACATATTCTAAGTCCAATTATCCTTTACGGCTTTGTTTCATATTTGATAAGAAGCCTGCGCGGCATATAAATGAGTTCGGGTCTGCTTGGTGAGATTTCGACGGCTGCGGCCTCGTAATTACCTTAGCCGTGCGTGCGAGCGTCGACGTCTGTGACGACGTGTTGCTTTATTACAAATGCAAAATGACTGCGGAATTACCTGTACACCCACCATACACAAGCACGCACATGCACACACACATCCACACACACATTGCGTGCAACGACACTTGAGAAAATAACGTGGAGACCATAAAGTTTTATGCACCCAATGTCCTGGCAAGCCAATTGTCAGCTGTGTTAGTTTAAGGCCGCAGTGTCAGTGGGCTTTAATGGAATGTTGCCAAGCAGAAATTGTGGGACTTATTAAATTATCTGACAACGGTATTTCGTGCGGAAACAATGCGCTTATTTCCGTCTCATTTAAGCAATTAAATTATTTGCATTGCGGCGACTGCAAAAGCGTATTTAAATTTCAAGGCAAGTGCCTCACTGTTTGTGCAAAGTAATATTTAAATATAATATTCCTGTAAGTGCTACAACAAGCATATCCTTGACGCAGCCAACGGATGCGATATGCAGCTTTCAAGATACTCTCGGTGAATGTGTTTGCATGTGTATTTCCGAGTGTGCGAGTGTGTGCATGTGTGTGTGCCCGTGTGCTACATTCGAGCTGCTCTCCTCGTGGGTTGTCGGGCTAAGAAAACGGGCAAGTGCCATGCAAAGAACTTGGATATTTGAATAGATGAACAGACATGCAAGCATTTTGGAATACAATTGCTGGCGATAAGAAACAAAAAATTTTCAGATATGATCCTCTACGATAAAAATGAGTTAAATTGAAGCCAAAGCTTTCAAATATGAAAGCATTTACTTGTTTGATATTAATTTGAGCAATTGAAGGTTTTAGAAATTGGATTTTCTATAAGAGATGCCAAAATGTTGAGCTGTCTGTGGATAAAATGCACATTGTGTGGGATGTGCCTAAAGCTTTCTCACGCACAAGAAGAAAACAATCCCATCGTATTGCCCCTGGCCAGCACAGGGGAAGAACTTAAGTAGCAACAGCAGTAGAAACAGCAGCAGCAACAGCAACAATAACATGAAAAGCCAGTTACTGGCAGACAGCATCAACATCAACAGTAAGCTAGTTTAACTAAGAGCGAAAACAAATGCCGGGCAAAACTCAAAGCAAATGCACAATATCCGCATAAGCCTTCGACAGCATTACGTTGACGAGCTTGGCAGCAACAGCAGGAACATCAGCAGCAGTAGCAGCAGGAACAGCAGCAACAGCACCGATGACGGCAGCAACAGCTGCTACTGCAACATCATCAACGTGGATGCATGCTGCTGTTACTGTTGTTGCTGTTGGCATTACAGTTGCCGTACTTGTTGTCTTAATCAAATTCCTTATGCAGCGCACTTTTCACTGGAAAAGCAACAACCAGCAGCGACAACATCAGCAGCAGCAGCAGCAGCAACAGCAGCAGCAGTCGTGGCAGGAAGCTCAAGTTCAAAACACAACAAACTTGGCAAGCAATGCAAATCAAGCGGAAATGCGGGTCTCGGCGAACAGTCTTGAAATATTGGTAGCGCGGCAAGTTATGAAAATTCTGTGACACTTTAAACTCTACCTTAAACTGTGTTAGGGAATATGGTATATTAACTTGGCGCTGACATGCAAAGTCATTTGCGCGTCTTGGCCTTATCGCAGCCATGCCCAAGGCGATAATTTGAGAAATACGCCTAATTAATTGGTATGTCATGTAGTCTGTTGCTGCCTCTGTTATTGGCTTATGTGCCTATCGTCCACAAGAGTTGCTGCTTTATTTTGTTTTCAAACGCAAGCAAATGAGCTAAGGCCACAGAGCGTAACGCAACAAAACCTTTTAGGAATTTATGGCAGGGGGTCACTTCCCCAGACAGCACACGCCCAGAAATATGCACAGCAAACTCGATATTCGAGTAACCGGGCCCATGGCTAGTTCGTTTCGAAAACAAGGACTCTCACGAGAAACAAGGAAAGCAACTTAAGTGGAATCGAGGCAACAACAATGACAAAGGCAAAGGCAAAGGGAAACGGCAACGGCAACAGCAACACCAGCAGCAAAGGCTACGTGCCAAGTCCCATGAATTTCTTATATTAAAAGACCTTTGTAATCGAAAACCGGAAGTTGGTCTAACCGCAAGCAGGCAACAGTATTAAGAGCGGTCAAGGCAAACACCAACAGATTAGCAGTTCAACTTTTTGCAAACTTTGTAATGCTCCGCCGGCTGGTAAAGCTCAAAAAAGCTTGGCCCCCGGCTACAGTAGCCGTTCTCCTAATGGCACAAAGAATCCAACTTCGCCCGCCAAATCGAATTAACAATTCAAATATAATGTTTGGTGATTGCCAGGAAACGCGACGAAAATTCAAATATAACAAGTCGAAACTATCGAGAGTTGCGGACGTGAGTTGCTCTGTTGACAGTGTTATAGAAAGTTGATAACGAGGATTTCAACATGGTCCCTTACCCCAAATAGAACATTTTGTAAACTTTTTCTATTCGGGATTAAAGGTGGGCAAATCGCATTAAATCGTACTTTTTGACGTGGGTAGCAGTATTTTTAATTTTCGCTGTAGCTCATACAGACAGGAGGACTTACAGAAAATCAATAAACTCCATTTCCCCGTGGGAACAGGGTATAAAAAGCTACGCGCACAAAAGTCTGCCACGAGTTGGTCAGGTCTAAAATTGGGTCAACTAAGGTCGTCGAGAACAACAACAGCAACTGTCATGGGCATGAAATTATAACTGACACTGACAGCGAAGGTTTTTTTATGTCTCGTCGCGGCGTTTCGGTCTATTGAATAATTTATGCACCGTAAAGTGCCCTCGCGTGCCGAGAAACAAATGGTAGAGAGAGTGCCAGCTCACCAATCCTGCACACTTATACATAACTATACAGCTATATATATATTTATATACCTTAGCGATAAAAAAAGCCATGCAACTGACTTAAGGAATTAGCATAAATGCAAGATTTAAAATTAGCACGGTTATATTTAATGGACACAACTTTTTTGTGTTAGCAAATATCTTTGCACAATCTATTTATATATATGTGATATATATACCGAGTATATGAATATGGACTTGGGATTCGGTTCAACTAATTCTAAGAGCTGTATTTAAGATTAATCCAAATTGTTCAACAACATAATGAAATCATGCCCAGTTCTATTTTCATTGCATTTTCAATCCCATTATTAGTAATTAAGTTGCAGCTGCGGATTTACAAGCCGAATATTAAATGCTTTAAGCTAACATATCTGTCTTTATTTGAAAAAAAAAACAATGGTCGATTGTGCTAAACTATAGAATCACCTGTACTTTAGAAGTCTTCAAATGAAGCCAATATTAGTTCGAGGCGTTGACAAAAACTGATGAACTGTTTTGCCTAAAATATTGGAGAACATTTATAATACGTACAATTTCAGGTCGTAAAATTTTAAATTTTCCAAGATCGACCATCTTTCCTTTTACTACAGGGTATGAAAAACTGTGATACTTTTTTTTTGGTGTGCAAATAGCATATTTATTACAAATTTAAGCCACTTGGCCTGAAAATCGTTTAATTTTTAAACAGCATTCTTGAACACAGCGTGGAGCCGGAGATATTAAAAGCGAGTGCATGCAAACATGCCAATATTGTTAAGTTAATTAAAAATGAAAAATGTAAGTGCGTTTTAAGCTCTAGCTTAACAAGGAATAACCATAGACTTTTTGATATATTAAAGAACATTTCGCATAACTCTTTCATTACACAATTTTATTAGACTAAAGAGTCTTACATTTTTACTGCAGAGCTAAATTAACTGAATGGCGGTTGCTGGCCATACAAATACTGCATCTAGTCATTGATTTTTCATAGTTGCCTTCGGCTATGGTTAATGCATTTTGCAATTGTTTTGTATCCTCTTACTACTTTTTGTTGCTGCTTATCAAGTTGACCGCCCTTGGGCACCAATGGGATAATTTGCTTAATTACGCATTTATTGTTTATCGACTGTGTGCATACGTACAACAACATGCAGCTACTTTTAAAGCTCACATGTCCGCAATTAACTTAATTGCATTTGTATTGATTTTGCCTAAGGCCTGCTGCAACTTGACGTGCTATATGATAACCTCGTTAGCTCCATTAGCAAAAGACAAATATTTTAGCTTGTGACCCACAATAGTATACAAAAATATACATATGTACTTAAGCCGCGAATCTTGATAAAGCTGCTTTCAATTCGCTTTAATAATTAATTATACTAACAGACGGCTGCATATTGTATAAAATTGCTTTAGCTGAGGGCTAATATGGACACACATGTATTTACACTAGATAGAACATTTACTAAGTTTTTAATCGGATCACAATACCTATCAAATATAATATCGAAGAAG